CTGTGTGTGTGTGTGTGTGTGTGTAGGTGTGTGTGTGTGTGTGTAGGTGTGTGTGTGTGTGTGTGTTAGATTTTCCCCACAACAGCCCCAATTCCACCCAGGTAAATAGATTCAGAATCAAATCAGTCTTTATCCTATTGCAGACAACGAGAGCATTTGAGATGTCCAACATATTAAAGCAACTTCATAATTAGACAGTTTTTTGGTTGTTCTTGGGGTACCCCTTTCATTGTTCTTGCAGCTCCCCTTTTACTGTCCCTCTCACGCGCAAGGCTGCCCACGTGTGTGTGTGTGTGTGTGTGTGTGTGTGTGTGTGTGTGTGTGTGTGTGTGTGCCACAGCACTGCTTTGTTTCTTATTTGAGCATGGGTATGTGTATAGGTGCATATATGTGTCTCTATGTGTATACAGATGAGTATATGTGTCTATGTGTGTACAAAAGTGTGCATATGTGTGAGCAGCTGTGTGTGTGCCTATACATTTGCCTCTTCACAGACCCCCACCTGTCTCTTATACACATCTAGATGTGTATAAGAGACAGCCATAGCACTCAACCATAGCCCATACGTAGGGTACCCCAACCATAGCACCCAACCACAGCCCATATGTAGGGTATCAAACCATACCATAGCACCCAACCAATGCCCGTATGGCCGGACGGCACACCCATGGACGGCACACCCATGATAAATAGAAGCTTGGTTTACACTTTGCCCCACACAGTACTAGTTGCCCACGTTCGCATTTCAATTAATCATATTGTATTGCCTGCCCTGTTTACAAATTGTGCCCGCCAGCAGCAGTTAGCGAATTTTGCCGGTGTACAAAAAAAAAAACGTCATATCGGTTAAGTTAATTGACCCTTTGGCCAACTCCTCAAGCAACCACCAGTCAGGCAATGTCATCTCCCAATCTCCCAATCAACTAATTTGGCCAACAGTTTTAGCCGTTGAGATGGAATTAGGTTAAAAAAGAATAAAAAATAAAAATAAAATTTAATAAAATATTATATTATATAGTCATCGTCAAACATTTATATAATTTTTGTTATTAAAAAAAAAGGTCAGCTAGCCACCCAGCAAATTAAACACCCAATGACATGACAAAAGGGGACCAGCACCGCAAGAAGGATCCGATAAGCAAAAAAAAGTACAAACTCAAAATTTCCTGGCGAAAAAAATGTCTCATCAAAAAAAGTAACCAAGTGGGCGAGAAAGAAACGTATGCACTCCTTCAGGAAACCCTTAAAAGTTAAAACAACAGTTTGCCCAACACTAAGTCGCTCACTGACCAGTTTACGCAGCAGGGCAGGGGGTAAGGCCATCACGCTTCAGGCCTGGGGCGGTAGTGAACGTGGAAGGCCACTAAGAAAAGAACAGTCTGATTTGTTATTCAAAAAATAAGTTAAAAATAAATTAAAAATAAATTAAAAAAGGAACAGTCAGAGGCTCACAAGCCTTTGCAAGATAGCTTGCTTCGTCAAGTTAGGCTCTGTGAACTAGGGGGTTAAAGATTTCAGAACTACCCTTGTCTGGGTAGTGGATGACGCCGAATTATAGCGGAGGGCCACCGGAGGCAACCAGACGAAAGAAGAGTAACAAATGGCAATGCCGGACGTATATATATAATAAATAGTGAGTACTAGAAAAGACGTCGTCGCATCCCTAGAGGCTAGAACCACCTGTAACCAGCCTTGTGAACAAACAGGACATCAGCTGAAACATAAGGAGTTCTCCGCCTACCCAGTCAAGTACATTGTCGAGAAGTACGCGTACGTACCCTAACCGTCTAAAAATCTCCTGAAGCTGATCTGCTCCCCACTTCTAGAATCTAACAATGTTTCCAAAGAATACACCCATCGCCTGCACATATTTAATCTCTACAAAACCGCGCCAAGGAGGACCATGCCTCCCTCATCCAGAGACAAATGATACCTTCACCTCATTAGCATAACAACAGCCGCACTCCTGTTCGTGACACATACATACTGCTATTACATGAGCAAAACCTCAGACATCAAGCAAGGAATCTCTCTCTCTCTCTCTCTCTCTCTCTCTCTCTCTCTCTCTCTCTCTCTCTCTCTCCCTCTCTCTCTCTCTCTCTCTCTCTCTCTCCACATACAAACACAGAGTCAAACTCCATACTCTGCAAAGGCTCCTTTTCTTTCCTTTCCTTGACCACACAACCACTGAGTTCTTACCGTTGAACCTGGCTTTGTTTTTAGGAAACATTAATTAATTAATTACTCTCCAAATTTGAAAATCAAGGATACTCATCACCATGTTCGCAAACATTCTGTTCCTTTGCAGCCGAAAGCGCTGCAAGAATGTCCAAGAAAAGTTCTCTAAATAGCGGCATTCAGCAACAAGAGGGTCTAAATAGACTGGAGAGCACAAAGGCAATTGGAAAGTGTTGTCGACATGCACCTCTGCTTGATCTCATTTGCTGCAGACGATGATCCCTCTGCCACGCGTCCGAAATGTCGAACGCTGGCAGGTCGCCCCGCGGCTTCATACCAACAGTGCAGCATGCCTACGACGAAAATTCGGAGTTCTTTGTTTTCGCTCCCTTCTGCCCTGTACCTTAGTGGAACAGGTGCCGGAGCCTACCGCACCGCCAAAAGGGGGCCCCCTCAAAGCCATGACAAGATTTCACCGAGATCTTCGTCCAGATTTTCGTTCAGAAACGACCGCCAATGCAATCTGTAGCTTCCCATGTACGCGCATCCGAAAGACGATGTTGCCGAGGCGCTATCCCCGCCTCCCAACAAACTCTGTTTTTCAAATGGACCTTTGAAGGCAGTCCCCTGTGCTACCAGAAAATGTTTGATTCACTTTTCTGCACACTCACCGGAGTCTGTGTCTCGCATGGGCTGCAATACCCATTCCGTCAACATGCTCCGGATGAACAGGGGAAAAAAAAAAAAAAAAAAAAAAAAAAAAAAAAAAAAAAAAAAGACAACCAGATCAGTTCCAACGTCCAAATGTTTTTTGTGCTCAATGGAAAATGCATTCTCAAATGTTATATCTGGCAACATCTTCAAATATCATCATCACTCCACTTCCTCAAAAACACCGACGCCTCGATGTTTTGCATCGCCACCGCTACCGACAACTTCAACATGCTCCAAATGAAAAACAGTCGGGGCCTACTCACCATAGGACTTTTTTCCGCTTCTCTGTGGAGTCATGCGTGCACATAATATTGTGGTCAGGTGCATTCATCGAGGAAAGTCGTCTAGCGAGCATGCCCTTCCGATAAACTCCAAATTTGCCATCAGTACTTTTCAGCCTCTGTGGAGTCGTGTGTGGACATTATATTGTGGTCAGGTGCATCCGGTCCAGGTCAGAAAAGCGGCCACATACATCCAGGAAAGTCGTCTAGCGAGTATGCCCTCCGATAAACTCCAAATTTGCCATCAGCACAGGTGGTATTCGAATACAACGTGTAAGTTTTCTATTCGAGGAACTATGCTATTCGAGAAAAGTGGACCCGCACCATTTCAATTTCGAAACAGGACTGCAGCCTCCTCGGCCTCCTACGCGCAGCTACCGGTCCTACGAGGTCCTGGACCAAAACCCGTGCGCGGTCCCACGGGCAGCTACCGGTCCTGCAGTTTCAAATAAGATGCCACCACCCCCTAAACTGCCATGCCTTGTTTTTCCAGCGTTCCAACGACCGTATAACGAACGACGACGAAAAATGTTCTGAGGGCATAAAATGCACCCCTGACGGGCTGCAAACTTTTCAGACAAGCACATGAAGCTCCGCGGCCAGATCGGACGAGTCGCAAAATCCTTTGCACTCCGACATGCTTATGATTTCATTCCTCAACAAAACATGCAGTCCACCTCCGCTCTCTCCTCGTCGCCATGCTAATTGAAAAATCATTGGCGGCAATACTTCTCGTCTTCCTGCTCCGAAACTCACATCATCGAGAATAGACAGGAGCGCCCACATTTCGCTTCCCGTTTCACACCGAATTTTCCAGGTACTGCTTGCTCTCCCTCTCCGTACTCAACAACCGCGGCCTCCTCTATGAGTACCTCCAATATGCCTTCGCAAGTTTGCATGGACATCTGCTATTCTACAGGCCTGTCACCGAAACCACGAGCATAATACATCCTGCTCTGCATCTTACATCATCGAGGATTGACAGGGGCGCTTACTTAGCTCCCCGTTTCACAACGAATTTCCCACATGCTGCCCTCCCTCTCCTTACTCAACAACAACAATCTCCTCTCTACTTACCTCCCTTCTGCCTTCAAATGGACATCAGCTGTTCACTGCACATGTAAGCAAAACCACGAGGGCATAATACATCCTGCACTGCACCTTACATCCTCGAAGATAGACAGGGGCGCTTATTTAGCTCCCCGTTTCACACCGAATTTTCCACATGCTGCCCTCCCTCTCCTTACTCAACAACATCTCCTCTCTACTTACCTCCCTTCTGCATTCAACGGACATCAGCCGTTCAATGCACAGGTAAGCGAAACCACAAGCAGACTACACACTAGAACGTATCTCATACACACTAGAACGTGTTCGCATACACTAAATTGGGCAGGGCTAGTCTTGACAACGGCAAAGACACACTAACTGATCTGCAACTTTGGACAGCAGAACTCCAGCTGCTGTTTTACCTGTCTACCAAAGTGCAAACAAACACCGGCATCGTCACGGCCTCTCACCTCTAAAGGAAGTCCAAAATACTATCTCGATACCGTCCAAGATGCTTACGTTGCTACTGTCTAAGCGCTGGCCCATTCAGAACTGCTATCGTGTTCGGCCCTATCTCCCTCCCCGCTGCCGTCTCCAAAAATTCTGCTGCTCAATACTTCTCTCGGCATGACGCATTCATGCCGTGCCCCTATGTTCTCTTTTGTTGCTGCGGTGAGCACGACGTTGATCTTGAAAGATTTGGGAATCAGCATGCAAGGGCCGCCACAAACCGTTGTTCGAGACAGTCAGACCTTTGTCGTACGTTGTCGCCCTTTATAAAAAAGGAAACACAGACAAAATGCCTCGTGTAATCCACGAATCCGATAAAATGAAAAGAACTTCCGATGAGCCTGGACACAGCCAGTCGGCCTACGAAGACATCCGAGAACATTGCCGAACGTAGCAGAAGCGTCACGTGAAGCCTGCGGAGATTTCCAGGCAATGTTTGCTACGACGGCACTGAAACATCTTGACCGAAATGTTGCGCTAACTGGCCAAACTCTCGCTGAAATGTTTCCTCGGATGTCACTACGACTACGATGTAGCAGCCGCATTGAGCATCCTACAGAAATGTTGCACCAACTGGCGATACTCTCACTGAAACATCTTTCAGAAATGTTGCACTGACTGGCCAAACACTCGGTGAAAACTCGCAGGCCGATGTCGCTGAAATGTTGCAAAAGAAAAACAAAAAGGTTGCCGAACTGACACGTCACTGAAAGAAAGTAAGATTCTCAGGTAGCCACAAAACCCTTATCATAAATTCCAGCCAATTTTAATACTCCGTAGATCACAATACGATACACAGTGCTATCGACCTGTGGGGACCACCAGTTAGATGCGCCCACAAATTGACGGTCACTACAAGGAGCGTCGATGGAGATGGGAGAAGCAACAGGCAGGACGTTCCGTTGCACTGGACCAACTAAGCCCTCCGCAGCAATCGGGCATTCGCAAATCCTTGCAGCAGCACGTAACAGCCAAAATGCGAGAGTCCCGCCATCGAAGTATCCATCCGCCCATCAACTCGCATCCATACATCCACCCTTTGATTCATCCGCCAACCATCCATCCGGCTGTCCATCCATCCAACCTATGAATGCATCTCTTCCCAAGTGTTCACACGAGAGGCTTTCTATTACAGGCATGAAAAATAAAGCGCTGAAAGCACAACTGAGGTGCCCAGAATACACGCAACACCCCAACAGGTGCCATAACTCCATCCAAATCTCCTGAGAAAGAGTACAGCAAACATACAATCAAGAAACCAAGACCGTGCGGTAACTATGAATGTATACATGTTCTTTTTCCACCGAAGCTCCTCCTCCTCCTCCTAATCATACTCCTTCCTTTCCATTCTCTTCTGCAAGCTAATCTTATCTAATTTTCTCCACCTGAGGCTCCGAGCGTGTGTAACGAACGAACGAGCTGCCGTCTGCTTATCAACTTGGTCCCCAAAGCATCAGATAATCAAATTCTTGCATGCAGAAGTGCCTTCATCGGAAGTCAAACACTTACGCGCGAAAGTGACTTCGTGGGAATCAAATTCTTACACGGAAATGTGCCTTCGTGGGCGCTTCTGACGCGAAGGATCTGCTCTTCGAGCCGTAAGGTTGCCACTGCATACTTCGAAAGATGTTTGTGGCCAAGGAGAAGCAGAACAATCTGCGACACAAGTAACCAAAAAGGTACTGGATATAAGGTTATTATGTCTTCACATGAAGTACCTATGCCTTGGATTGCACCTTATTGCGCAGCAACCTACCTCTTATCTTGTAATACAACCACCTCTTGCTGCCACTTGCCGCCAGCTGCCACTTGCCCGCCTCACTTGAGAAAGAACAAAAGGAAGTGGATCATGAACCCCACCAGAGGTGCTCCAAGTGATAGGGAGCTGACGACTGCCATGCAAAACAATTCGAAAACGACAAAATGCAGGGAACATCAATAATACTATGGGAATAATCCAGAACAAAGATCAGCAATCCATATAAAGGGCCACTCCTTCATCTCTCCTCACACAAAACCCAGGACTACACGCACAAGTCAAGACGAAGCCAGAAAGACCCTTGGACCTTGGCACACGCACAGTAACCACTTGGTCGACTTCACCATTGCCGAAATGGGTTCGCTATTATATCCAATTTGCCATGTTGCACTGTAGAAAAGAGAGGGGGCAACCCAAAAAAAAAAAAAAAAAAAAAAAAAACTTATTCGTGCTTATTCTTGCATACATAAGCTCTCATTTTGGCTTCGGTTTTTTTTTTTGTTTTTTTTTTTTCAGCGCAAGCAAAACCTTACGGTTCTGGCTCCTTTCCATTCTGGGGAGCGACAGTCCGGTTCCTATTCCACCGGGCCACCGGCAAAGTTACATAAAGAAACTCGCGCACGCTCCTCCCCATTATGGCGGGAAGGTCCAAGTAAGCAGGGGGGCATTCATTTCTTCCCCAGAGTGGCTTCGTTTTACTTTCTTTTCTTTTCTGCCTGGCTTATTTTCAATATTTTTACTTTTCATTTGTTCTGTGACTTCAACGTCGGTTGTCTAAAGTTGTCCTCTGAGTGCTCAAGTTGCTTGACGTTTCCTTTCTTTTTTTTGTTCGGACCATTTCTAATTGTCTGTTGATTTATGTGTGTCATCCTTGTGCAGGGACCATGCTAATTATCCTCCTCTCTATCATTTCAATTTTGATGGATGTCCCAAGGGACAACTTCCTCGATGTTTCCTTGTGCGATAAGAACATACAAAATGTACAGTGTGTAGTTCATCGCTACAAATCGCAGAATTGCTTTGTTGGCCGACTGAGAAACCACGGAGTGACAAACGCTCGACCTCTTGTCCTTGTCCTTCAGGACATGCGTTCAAACCGAACGATGCAGAGAAGATTAGCATGGCCCCTGTGCAAGGATGACACGCATACATCGACAAATAGAACTCTTGTCCACGGATGGGAATTGCCACAGCTTCCGGCCGACCGGTCTGAAACCCATCAGATGGGAACTGCTATAGCTGCCAGGGGCCTGATCCCAAAACTTTCACCACAAAAATTCCACCTTCCTCGTGTGACAGTGTTTGAAGCAGAAGGTGATTCCGTGTTCCCCCTGTGGTCCTTGCACGGAAGTAGGCCATACGAGTTGAGTTCCGCGGATGGGAATTGCTACAGCCACAGGGCGCCCGGTCCCGAACCCATCAGATGGCAATTGCTATAGATACCGGGGCCCTGCTCCCAAACCTATCACTACAAAAAATCCATCTTCACCCGACCATCGACGGCCACGTGCCAGTGTTTGAAGCAGGGAGTGCTACCATGTACAGAAGGACGTATGAAAGGAGGTCGACCTCCCTTCGCCGTACCCCCAAACTTGCAGCTATAGTTTGCTTACAATGGTTTGCCGGACGTCAACAATTATTTCCATCCCTTCATCGTAATGTACTTGGCGTACGGCCGTTTTAGGGCAACACACACACTAACAAGTACACATGTAGAACATGATGCAACTGCAGTGCTAATCTTTCAACAAGGAGCTCCCTGTGGCATGGTACAAAAAAAACGTAATACCTTTCTCGGCCTTTTGGCTAAGATCAAGTGTAGTATCTGTTCTGATCAGTTTAATATCTGATCCGTGGTCCATCGGGCCACTATGATATTATTAAAAAAAAAATAAAAAAAAATAAAAAATAAAAAACGCTAATCAACGAGAGCCAGTTAACCGAGCCCCCATTTTTCACCTCAGTTTATAAGAAAACCATAAGGCCATTTCAAGCAAACTCTACACCAATGTATAGAGTGCACTTCTTACTAACATATTATTAAAAAAAAGCAAAAANAATAGTGCACATCGAGTTCGATGCCCACAATGCGGCGATGATTTCTTCAGTGCTGCAGGCTTACGAGTGCACCAGACATGAGGTGCAGCTACTTGTGCAGCGTTTGCACGACTAGCAGCCGCCCTGAGCACAAGTGAGACCTGTCTCTTATACACATCTAGATGTGTATAAGAGACAGTCCCAGTGCTTCCTCCAACGCTCCGGCTCATCAGCCTGCAGGTGTGCTCACGGGACAACTAACGAGATTCAAACATATTTGTAACAATACTACCGACTTCAAAGCGGCAGTGACTTCCCTGACACGACGTATGCTTGTCAGGGGCCATCCTCCCAGTGTCCTGGCCAGAGGCTGGCCTGCATATGTGTGTGGCCGACAACGCCGGCTACCAACTCATGTCACACGACTTTCGAACTGGTTTCGCCGAATGGTTTGCTGGGCAGTCGCTCACCCACTCCCGAAAGATGATTCAGTGCGCAGGTCCTCCACCCAACCGCACACAAGAGACCACCACTCATCACCTGACACCAATGTTGACCGCAACCAACATCAGCCCTCCGCACAATCAAATGCAGACCGCTCGCCCCCCCTGTTATCCGTGTTGAAATGACAGACGCTAATGTTGATACGCCAACTGAGCCAGAGATCATGCCAGCCGCTGTAAACAATGCGAACGCTGTCTCTTATACACATCTAGATGTGTATAAGAGACAGCTTCATACCAATGTATAGAGTGCACTTCTTACTAACATATTATGAAAAAAAAGCAAAAAAAAAAAAATAAAAAAAACATAAAACAGCACCTCAAAAGTGCATTTTCAAGCAATTTTGCCAAAAAAAAAATCATCGAAATTTCAGGATTTTCAGGATGATCAACAACACAAATTCTACTAACCCTAATGACACCACATTTGACACACAGCAAGCTTGTCCAAAAACAAAAACAGGCAAAAAAAAATTCCAAAAAAACACAAAATTTGATCCCGAAACCCTAATTTCAGGATCATTCATGGTTACTCAGGGCCGAAAAGTGGGGGTCCCCGTTAACCGCTTGTAACACGGTCCACAGCTCCTCGAGACTATGGCACTGGTTTAAACCCCCAATGAACAAATTTACCCCACTTTCCCCTTGATTCTCGTAGGACTAGTTATTAATTAATTAATTTAAAAATAAAATTAAACATTGATTGAATTGATTGACATGCTGATCTGGCTCAACAGTTCACATGCCCTGATCATTTTATCTTGCGTTTCGACTTTGCCCTTAACGTCCACATTTTGATGCCAGCCTATGAACCGGACATCACATTCCCTGTTCTTCTTCTGCGCTGATCGTGATTGTGTCCAAAGAACCAAAGGACCAACTGTCTATGTCAAGTTGTCCCTCGGTCACTTAAGATTTTGTTCGTCTTTTCCATCCATTACATACAGAGTTACCAATTTTGCCCTGGGCCCCTCATCGCCACTAAATCCGTCCCCAGAACCCCTGTCGGATGCTGCAAGGCCCTGCATAATACTTCCAGAATCCATATCCATTGCAGCACTGGGCATGAGGATCTGTCTCTTATACACATCTAGATGTGTATAAGAGACAGGCACAGGAGTACCCCACATCTAGTCTATCAACCT